AGGATTACAAGTAATAAGTGCAAGGGGATATGTTGAATAGTGTCTTCAAACCATGAGGAAATGACTGCCCACATACTACTTTGGAAAGTTAATGCCTAGATTGATGTAATTTATATGACGTGATTCTAGGTGACCAGAACCACTACTATTAGGTCTAGTAAGGTACTTACTTTCTTTCTTTCTTTTTTTTTTTTTTTTTTTTAAATTTTAAAGAGAATTGAAAACAAAAATAGCAAAATGCCAACAACATAAACAAAAACAATAAAAATGATACAGGGTTTCAAAACAAAGTGATAAGGATTAATAGTGGTTGTTATATTACATATTTTTATCTTCATTGAAGTTGGTCAGATTACCAGATATAAGAATGCAAGATTAATCAAACCATTAAAAAGAGTGAAAAATAAAAACAAAAAAATTATAAACAATACAGAGTTTCACCAAACAAGATGATAGGAATTCAACAATGGTTGTTATGTTGCATATTGTTGTCTTCAAATTAGTTGTTCATATTACCAAATACAAGCTTGCACAATTGGTCTAAATGAATAAATAAATAAAGCATTAACTGTTCCTTCAATAAACCATTAGACATCAGCAGTGCTGTCCTTCTTTATATATATATGTAGTTTCCCTTCCTTCTTGATTTCTTTTTCTCCCTTCCTTAATCCCAGTTGTTTCCTCTTTTGAGCGGTTTCTTTCCCTTTCCTGACATCCATTGTACATTTTGGGTACCGCTTACTCTTCCATGTTCTTACACTAGGGATACAACACAATGTCTACACATGCGGGTCCTTTTTTACGTAATAAATGCTCAATGAAAACGTTTTAAAAGTTGAACTGTTAAATTTTCTAATCTGGTTTATTTATACTAGATGACTTACAGTTGAGTAATACATACCATAGGATTAGTTGAGTGGGGTCAACTTTTGCAGGTTTATGTGTCACAACTGAAATCCTCAGGTAGAAGGATTTGGAAGGGAAATATATATGAAGAGTTACTTCCAGTGTTTTCTCTTTGATTAGAAAATACTTGTCCTTTTATCCTAAATGTTTTGCCCTTTTTCTTTCTGCATTTAAGGGAAGAGCTTCCAGCAGCAAAGAGAAGCCATGAAACAAACTATAGAAGAAGATAAGGAGCCAGAGAAATCAGGTCAGACACTGCTACTTGACAGCAGTTAGAAGTTCCTTGGGTTTTCATCTGGAACCGTATTTAAATTTGCACATTATGTAGAACTTTTGAGAAAGGTGTATTATGGAAAAGGCAGTAAAGAAACCAAACTGTTTTAGGATGGTAAGGAAAGATTAAAGAGTTAATGTGTAATTAATGGGAAATTATAAATACCAGAAAATATTCCTGTGAACAGTGTAAATGTTTGAAATTTTTAAATTGAAAACAACTTTGAGTTCTTCAGTTTAAAATATGCAGTTTTGTTTGATAAAACAAATTATGACATTTACACTTATTTATGATTGCAGGAAAATTATGGTGTGCAAAGAAGAATAAAAAGAAAAGGAAAAAAGTTTTATATAATGCTAATAAAAACGACGGTAAGTTCTACTCTCAGGCATAGCTGGAGTTGTATCTGAAAGGAGTCCTAAGTCTGATGCTGAAAAGAAATTAAACTGTTATTTTCAGGGGAGTTTTATTTCTACTTCTGTTTCAAGTTTAAGTATAATATATGTATATAGGAAAATCTTTTATTAGAAGTTGTTTTCTTTTGGGGTCCTATGAGTAGCACAGTGTTTTAAGTTCTGGGAAAAAAGTGGTATAAAAGGTAAAGTACTGTTAGCATTTTTATGTTACATTGGTGGTTTCTTCCAATTTTTCTGTTTAAATTATTTGAAAAATTATTTACTTCTAACAGATTCTTAGAAAACAGTTGTGTTTGCAGTAAAGCATTAATATTTCCTTTATAATAGCTCACATCATAGAGGCCATTCATTCCATAGAGCCCACTACTTAACTAAGTCAGGCACATAGGAATGTTTTTGTTTCACTTTGATAACTAAAGTTAAAAATTTTTAAAGTAGCTTCTCATAAAATCAAAAGTTCTGATGACACCGGGCCTGTATTCCCAAGTGATGATCATCTGCCAGACCCGAGTGATTGTGGTTGCCTTACATTTGGTACCTGCTGCCTGTTCAAGCCTTTGCCACCCTTAGTTTTTAACACACCCAACCTGCTTCTCTGATTTCATTACCTTCTTGGCTGGGCTTCCTGTGTGTCTGATTTGGTACCCTTGCTTTGGCTCATGTTAGAAATAAGCCGAAAAATAATGCAAAGAAACTCCTTTTTATACAATTTACAGAGCTTATTATCTGCAGAATATGAAATATTTTAGAACACCAAAAATTAAACTAATGAAAACAAAATGTTACAAATTATTGAAATATTCCATATCTTGCTAATGCTGAGATTCAATTTAATTTTTTCTAAAATATTCTTTAATGCTGATTGACAGATTATGTAAGTAGAATTTATTGGGTTTTTAATTTTACCCTCTATGGTTGTAATTAATAATATCTCTTTATTTTTTGAGACTAAAATTAATTGATCCAGCTCTTAGAGCTAGAATGCTACAGAAAACTTGGCAAATATGAAACCAACAGATACATAAAATCTATAGATCAGAATAGTATAACAATCTGGTTGTGTATGTTAGACACAATTCAGAATAGAGTAAAACACTGTGAGAAGTAAAAGACTGGTATTTATTATTCTTGATGGTTTCAGTATCACAATATTTTTAAATAAATATCTAAGTAAATGTCTACCATTAATAATATCTGCTCTAACCAGGCATGGTGGCATGTGCCTGTAGTCCCAGCACTTGGATGCTGAAGAAGGAAGATTTCCCCAAGTTTGAGGCCAGCCTGGGCTACACAGTAAATTCAAGGCCAGCCTGAACTACATAATGATACCTTGTTTCAAAAAACATACGTACTACATACATACATGCATACATAAATTTGGGGAGTGGTGCTGCAGATGTAGCTCAGTGGAAAGGTCCTGGGCTCAGTCCCCAGTACTGAAACAAAATTAAAATAATAACTCTACTCTGTTCCATGACAGGAGGTTACAGATTAATCAGTTCACATTCAGATATTGAAGTGTGCTTAAATCTTCCAGCTAATAAACAGTCGAGCTGGAATTTGAGCAGATACAGTGTTAGCTCCTACTCTGTATCGGGTGCGGCTGGGCACTGGCCAGACTAAGATGGTCCTTGCCCTCATAGAATTTACAGCTGAGTCAGACGGACATAATCTGATGCCCCTCCCAGCCAGGTGAAGTAGTGTGAGGGGATGAGGAATACTGCTAGTTGTCTGCCTTTGTATTTACTACTTAAAAGCTCTGGTTTCATCTGGATTACGGCTTTAGGAATGTTACGCCACCCATCATAATTTATATGTCATCTTAAATCATGGCTCTGGGTTAGTAAATTATTAGTGTCTGCACTTTCCAAAAGTGACAGATAACCTTACTTGGTTATCTCCTGGTATCACACCCTTTGTCAGAGTATTCACTGCAAACTAGCTATTTTATATAAGGATCAGTGTAATTTTATCATGTATTGCAACTCTGTATGAAGCAAGATAAGCAACAGAAATTTTCTAGGAGGATTAATATATTGCCCTCTGATTCATTTGCATAGTACCCTGGCAAGAATATAGTGACGTAGGAACATGCTCGTGATATAGTGCTTTTTGTTATTTCTATCATGATACAAAGTTAAGTACTTTAATAATGAATTGTGCTTCTTTCCAGTGTTGGAGAATCTGTAGGTATTTATATCTTTATGACATGGCAGTAATTTTCTCTGAAGGGCTTAAACTTTTTCTTTCCCAAAGATTATGACAATGAAGAGATCTTAACTTATGAGGAAATGTCACTTTATCATCAGCCAGCAAATAGAAAAAGACCTATCATCTTGATTGGGCCACAGAACTGTGGCCAGAATGAATTGCGCCAGAGGCTCATGAACAAAGAAAAGGACCGCTTCGCATCTGCAGTTCCTCGTAAGTTTGGACACAGTCCCATTTTCTTGTGCTTTTCAGTTAACTACCTGAAACCCACTTTGCATCCATTTCACTGAAACAGTGTTGTCAGTGAAAGAAGAATTTTAAATACTTTGACAATTTTTTTTATTACAGATACTTATTGAGAAACTTCATTTTTCCTGACACTGTGGTACTAATTATTTTCTAAATTAATTTCACTTTGGGCCCCTTACAATTCCCTGCTCAATAGGATATCAGCTTCTGATCCTTTGTTCTTTAAACTGACATTGAAGATAGAAATGTAGACCTGATTTCTTACAACAGAAGTTCTGTTTTAACATTATATAGTACCAAATCTGATGGAAATAATCTTTAGGAAAAGATAAGTGGTAGTGTTTTAAATGCAAGGTGAAGTAACTTAAAAAGTATAAGCATAAAGTGGAAGGATATTAATTTAACAAGATACTAAAACACATTCTTGTTTATATCTCAACCTAAAAATAAATCAGTGTTAAACACTGGGCTCTGAATATCTCTTCAACTCATTATTTGCTACTCCGTGTCACAAAATAAATTATGTGGACAAATTAACTGGACGAATTATCCACCCTCCTCACTTTGTTATTTTTATATGATTTTGTTTGCCTAGATACAACTCGGAGTAGGCGAGACCATGAAGTAGCTGGTAGAGATTACCACTTTGTTTCACGGCAAGCATTTGAGGCCGATATAGCAGCTGGAAAGTTCATTGAGCATGGTGAATTTGAGAAAAATTTGTATGGAACCAGTATAGACTCTGTACGGCAAGTGATCAACTCGGGCAAAATATGTCTTTTAAGTCTTCGTACACAGGTAAAGCTAGAATTTTGATGTAGAGTGTTGAATTTATGAGGGTGTCTTAGTTACTTTTCTTGTTGCTGAGACAAAATACACAATACTCAAAGTTAAAGGAAGAAAGGTTTATTTGGCTCACAATTTGTGGAGGTTTTACGCTGTAGTCAGCTGGCTCCGAGGCAGGGTGGCATGGCAGAGGGGCATCACAGAGGAGAAACAGTCAGCAGGCAGGCAGGTCAGAGCACATTTGCCCTCTCTGTCCCTTATATTTTAGGCATGCTACCCACCCTAGGGCGAGTGTAGCACTCACACCCTTAATCCGAGCCAGAGCTGTGCCAAAGCAATCAGTGGGCTGATTTAGTCCTTACACCCTTTTGATCCCAGCACCACACACTCTAGATCCAGACACCTCTGAAAAGCACCCCCATGACTGCATGAGGCTTTGGGGTGCACATCTAGACACATGCTGTAACAGAAGGCATGTGTTGGAAAGTAATCTAGTAGAAACTATTTTATTCCAAGAACAACAGAGCTCAGTTTTCCCAGTAATTTGCTATATAAAATTCAATAGGCTGCTAAATGTCTTTCACTTTGCATGTGTACATATTTTCTGAAACTTACAATGTAGTAACTGTGGTATTGACAATATTTCTAGGTGTTTTAGAACTATAAAAGAATTTGCCTTTTCTGATTCTGATCTAAGAAAAATCAGAAAATTTAAAAGTCATTTTTAGGGTTTTAAATGCCAGTATTCAAGTATTAATAAGTGTCACAGTGAATGCTTAGCTTTGTGTAAATAATGAAACCTCAGTTTCAGTTACTTGACTAGCAGAAATCAACCATGCAACTTTGTCTTGAGTTTCTGTGTAAGTAGATTAAAATTAGAAATTACATTTGTTGTGGAAAAGTTTTCCTTTTTTCCAGCTTCAGCATAGAACTTTCTTTAATATGGTAGAATTTTGCTGATACCAACTCAGAACTACATAGTCAATGGTCATTATTAAAAAGATGCACATACAGGAGAACTGACTCTAAAATGGCTATCCTAAAATAGTAAATAGCTTCTGCGTTTTTCGCGGACAAAGACAGTATGGCTGTACTATTTTGATTATAAACATTTGATCTATGAGATGTATGAATATTTTTACTAAAGTCCTTCACAATTCCTTTTTATTTGGGAAAACATTTTACCAAAGAACTTGGAGTAGTTCAGCAAATTATTACCGTAACATTTTTAGATAGAAAAGGACATGTCCCTATGCTTAATCTCCCTTTTGGTAAAGTGCTTTAGTTTGAGGATACATAGTGATGCAATGATAAAGAGAAAATGAAAACCACAGCTCTTAATTCAGACAGTCATTTTCTTGGATGTTCTTTTCCACACTTTTCTTTGGCATCTGTACCTGAAGTTTATTCTCTGATTTTACTGCACTAAGCCTGGCGATATAATAATTATCTTGACTCTTAATTCTTCCAAAATGAATTTTTAATATGGTTATAATCTGTATACAGTCTTTATAGTATGGTATATTAGCATCATGTAGTTATTCTTCAATGTTCCTTATATTTCATTACAGAAAAGAGCAAGCTAACATAATATACATGAACTGTAGTTATGTATTCTTAACAGTTACTGACATGGTCTTACACTGTTGTGAATAGTTGTTACAAAGATGTTTAGAAACATTAATTGGCAATACTTTAAAAAATGACTTTATTAAGTTCCAAGCATGTTATTAAGAAATAGATCAATGACAGAAATTATTTTTAAAACTCAGTTATCTTTATTAACAGTCTTTGAAAACCCTCCGGAATTCAGATTTGAAACCATATATTATCTTCATCGCACCCCCTTCCCAAGAAAGACTTCGGGCCTTGCTGGCCAAAGAGGGCAAGAATCCAAAGGTAAAGTTGTTACATTATTGTGTGGTTCCATTGCAGATACACATGATACAATGCAGACCTAATCAGTCACGATGTTTAGAAGGTACATCACCTTCCCTTTTCAGTCTGATTCTTCTTTCTGCACTGTCACTTGCCCCTGATGGCCGTATTTGCCACCACCAGTGGGGCTGTGGCAGCGCTCCAGGGCAGCAAGGTGCTCTTGTTACTGCAGACTTTTCCTGTTGTTAACTCCACGTGTATGTTAATCTCTGGGGTTCTGTAAGTCTTTAACCTTCACAGGCATCTGTGACACTTCGAAAGGGAGTATGTGGGCCACTGCCCACCACGAGGTTTTCAGCAGACTCACAGGGACTCCCCACCTTCTCTTCAGTAGTCCACAGTCATAGGTGCTAGCGCGGAGTCCTTTTCCATCCGAACTTTCTTGTTCTTTCTTCTCTTTTTGGGCTTCTCACATGATCTAGAACAGAAGAAAAGGTTTTTAAAATTATATCTGTTCTGGATGTGGTTAAAGTAGTTCATGTTTTAGTAAATATTAATAATTCAATGATAATATACTGATATTAATCAAAGTATTGACTTTAAATATGTAAAATGAAAATTCTATCAGATGCTTGGTATCTCAAAGCAATGTTCTTCCTTGGTCATTTGCTGTTTTGTGAATTACCTGTTTCAGAGAGAAACTCATCCTCCTCCTCCATCTCTTGACCCCCTTTCCCATTTGACAAGGCTCTTTCTCCCTGCTGCGTATTACCTGTCTTTAATCGGCCCTCTTTATAATGTGGGTCTCAAACCGTACAATATTGAAGCTTGTGTGTCTGATTTATTTCACCTAACATTATGGTTGCAAAGTGCATCTTTTTTCCTACAAATGACTCAAGTTTATCCCTATTTATGCAGAGTACTACTCCAGTGTGTGTAAATACCACATTTTCTTTATCCGTTCATCTGTTGGTGGGTTGTTTCCAAGATTTAGGTATTATAAACTGTGCTACTATAAACTCGAGTGTGTCTGTATCCCGTAATATGATGTCCTTAACTCTGGGGGAGATACCTAGAAGGGGCCTAGCTGGGTCAAATGGAATTTCTAGTTTTAGCGTTCTGAGGAATCTCCATGGTGACTTCCGTAGTGGTTGGTGCAGTCCCACCAACAGTGAAGAACAGCGCCCCCCGCCCCCCGCCTCGCCGGCACCTGTTCCCTGAGTTCTCGGTGGTGGCCGTTCTTGCTGGAGTAAGACGGACTTGTGTTTTTGAAATTTGCATTTATCTAGTGGCCAGTGATGTTGAGCATTTCTTTATGAATTTATTGGCCATTTGTGCTTCTGTAAAGTGTCTACTCATTTCGCATTGCCCGTTTTTCAGATGGGTCTTTTATTTTATTTTATGTCTTTTCAGTTCTTTACATATTCTGGATGTTAGTCCTCTGAGGAAAGGCCAGCAAAATATTATCCCAAAATTTGTTTATCCATTCTCCAGTTGAAAACACTTGACTTGTTTCCAGTTTTCAGCTAGCATGATCAAACATTCAGGTAGCCTTTTGGTGGACATGTTTTCATTTCTCTTGGATATACACATAAAAGTAGAACTGCTGCATTGCCTGAGATACGTATGTTTTCCCTATATAAAAACTGTTCAACTGTATTTTCCTGGGCTGGGGATTAGCTCAGCAGCACAGCACCTGCCTGGTAAGCAGGAGTTCATGAGTTCAATTCCCGGTACCAGGAAAAAAAAGGAAAGAAAATATATTTTATTTGCATTTTCCTAGTAACTAAAGATCATTTTCTCATATAATCATTTGAGCATATTCTTTTGTGAAATGCTTTAAGCCTTCTCATTTCTTAAGACTTGTTGGCTTTCTCTTAAAAATTCTTATAAGAATTTGTTGTTCTTTTGTTTTGTTTGGGATACTAGGGATTGAATCCAAGGCCTTTACTTTGAGCTATATCCTGAGCACCACTCCCTCTCTTTTTTTCTGTCTTGAGACAGGGTCTCTCCAAGTTGCCTAGGCCGGGCTCCAACTTGGTGCCATCCTGCCTACCTCCCAGAGTTCTGGGATTACAGACATGTGTCACCATACCCAACTGTGTACTTTATTGTAAGTCTCAAAAACCAGGCAATAAAAAGGAGTGAAGGCTGGGTGTGGTGGTGCATGCCTGTAATCCCAGCACTTAGAAGGCTGAGGCTGGAGGATCACTGGGAGTTCAAGGCCAGCCTGGGCTACAGAGTGAGTTCAAGGCCAGCCTAAACTACATAGTAAAACCCTGTTTCAGAAAGACCAAAAAAAAAAAAAAAAAAAAGGAACGAAGCAGCCAGGCATGGTGGTACATACCTATAATGCCAGCACTTGAGAGGCTGAGGCAGGAGGATCAAGAGTTTGAGCCACCATATACATGGCAAGACCCTGTTTTTAAAAAAAATGGAAAGAACTGGGGATATAGCCCAGTGATAGAGCATTTGCCTAGCATTTGTAATGCCCTGAATTCAATACCCAGGAGCAAAAGAGTTTTAAAAAGTAATTAAGTATTGATACATGCTTCAGCATGGGTGAGCCTTAAAAACATGCTAAGTGAAAGAAGCCAGGTACAGTAGACCACATGCTACATGGTTCCATTTATGTGGAATGTTCAGAGTAGGCAGTCTGTTGAGACCTAAAGGGTATCGGTGGTTGCGTAGGGCTAGGGATTAGAAGGTGACTGCTAATGGGTATGGATTTTGGGGGTTGGGGGTGAGGGAAGGATGATACAATGCTCTAATGTCCTAAAATCGATTGTGGTATCAATTGCAGAACTCTGTCACTGCACCACTGTGGGATCATCAGTTTTAAATGGGTACAGTGTTTGATACTTGAATTATGCCTCAAGAAGGCTGTTACTTCCCCACCCAGATCCCAGCAGACTTAGTTGTAGCAACTGAAATTCTTACTTAAAAATTGATAAAGAAATTATGTGGAATTATCAAAAACACTTTAGAAAAACTGAGGCGGGCCTTTATTTTTTGTCTGTTTTCTATTAAATTCACTTTTGCTTATTTTCATTCTTATGCTTACTGTGACTTTAATTTGTATTTCTAGTTCCTGAAGATGAAAGCTTAAATTTTAAACTTTTTCTTTTTTTTTTTTTTTTTGGTCTTTTTGAGACAGGGTCTCACTGTGCAGTTCAGGCTGGCCTTGAGCTCACTTTGTAGCCCAGGATGGCCTCAAACTCACAAGGATCCTCCTGTCTCAGCCTCCCGAGTGCTGGGATTACAGGCATGCGCCACCATGCCCAGCTAAACCTTTCTACTTTTTAAATATAGGCATTTGAAGTTACCAACTTACCTCTAAGCAGTTCTTCATTTGCATCCATAAGTTTTGATGTATATTCATTTTATTAGAAATAGTTTCTGTTTCCCTTGCCATTTTCTTCTTTAATCCATGGTTATTTAGAAGTATGGTATTTTATTTCTACCTACTTGGGGATGTTAAGAAATACCTTTGTGATTTGCAATTCCATTATGGTCACAAAATAGATGCTGACAGGTATCAATCTTTTAAAAATTGTGTTGAGCCTTATAATAGTCCATCTGTTCTGTTTTAGTGAACATCCCATGCATACCTGTAAGAATGTGTATTACACATTTGTTGGTTAGAGGGGGTATATCTGGTTGTTTCTTTTATTCCACTTACGCTTTCACATTTTTGAGACAAGATCTCACTGCCCATGCTGGCCTTGAACTATTAACGATCCTCCTGCTGGGATTATAGACATGTGCCACTCGCCCCACTTTTTTTTTTAATCTCAGCTATGTCATTCCACTAGTACATGTGATGCTGAAGGGAGCACTCCTTTGAAGTTTCTCGCATGACAGAAGTACTGAGTAAAAACAAACTTTAATTGTGTGAATTGTACTAAGAGTAGTAAGTGTTCCAGCTGTTCCGCAGGGCACGATTTGAGAACGGTTGGTCGGCTGTGAGAACTGATGGTCAGTTTTGACTGTAGACTATATTCAAAATGTTTGAGATAAAACATTGTTTCATCTTTGTCATGGCTTATAAGTTAAACACATTCAGATAAGAAGTACTAAACCATTATAGAAGCCATTTTGGCATTCAGTGAAATAATGCGTTAAATTTAATAAAGCTTAATCTCAAGCTTTGAGTGGAGACAGGCTCTAGCAGAAAGGTCACAGTGTGCAGTGGTGAGTTCAGGCCCGGCCGGGGAACAAAGGAGTGTGTGTGCTACATTCAGACGCACAGCATCCCAGAATGCAAAGTAGAGCACCACACAAGAAACCGCGTCGGGACCGGCAGCTGTGTTTATGATGTTTTCCTTCTGTTGCAGAATGGGAGATGATGTAAATGTTTGTAGCCCAGTACAGTACTGAGTGACTTTCTGAAACATTCACTCTTGTGTTGGGGCTGGGGATTTAGCTCAGCGGCACGCTTGCCTGGCAAGCGCAAGGTTGTCAGTTGGATTCCTGGTACCAGAAGAAAAAAACAAAGAAACATTCACTCTTGTGTTATCTTCAGTGCCAAGGGTGATTTGGGAGCAGACTCACATCCTTGGACTCATCTTCCTGATGAGCAGAGGGTTCTGGATCGGTTTGGTGCATAGCCTCGCTACCTGCTTGTCCATGCTCAACAGCACTTTCCCGCACACAGTATTTTAAAATAGTCTGCTCTGTACAGAGTTCGAAAGTGTCACGATACCTTTTGCATTTTAAAGATGTTCCTTATATATTGAGAACAGAGCAGTAAGTTAGAGTTTCAAGCTGCATATTGTCACTCCCCAATGTATATTAGGTTTTAGATCTTGAGCAAGATTTTCTTAGAAAAAGAGAAATCATTCTATCCATTCTTTCCTTTTCCTGTATGTAATGTTTACTCTGTCTGACTTGGCTAGAGACCTAAAGGGCGGCCCCCTTGACAAGAGCCCGGAGGGGCGGTGCTGTGAGTCCTTTCTCCAGCCAGAAAGGTTGACTGTCCAACAGATGTTTCTAGCAAAAGGTTGTGGCACCCTATGATGTTTGAAAAGAAATGTTTGTAGGAAAATCAAAGTAACAGTCTGCGCTTTATAGTCTTGGTGAGATAAGACAGAAGTATGGTAAATCTAAATAGTGCATAAAACAGGATATACTGACTCCTAAATAACGTACAATGTGAGTCCTAAAGGTGCCAGAACAAAAGAAACCACTGTGGCCCCATGGAGTGGTTTAAAAGGGGCTCTAAGCTGGGTGTGGTGGCACGCGCCTGTAATCCCAGCACTCGGGAGGCTGAGGCTGGAGGAGTGTTGCCAGTTCGAGGCCAGCCTGGGCTACAAAGTGAGCTCAAGGCCAGCCTGAACTGCATAGCGAGACCATGTCTCAAAAAGACAAAAGAAAAGGAGCTCTAGAAATTGAGTATTTTGAGAGAAAAAAGCAGTGCAAGTATAGTCCTTAGCATGAGCCATCTGACTGGTCCTGTGTTTTGCTAAGATAGGAATTCTCTCACAGTGTTTAATCTCTTTGCAGCCTGAAGAGCTGAGAGAAATCATCGAGAAGACTAGAGAGATGGAACAGAACAATGGCCACTACTTTGACACGGCGATTGTGAATTCAGATCTCGATAAAGCCTATCAGGAATTGCTTAGATTAATCAACAAACTTGACACCGAACCTCAGTGGGTGCCATCCACTTGGCTGAGGTGAAGGAGCGGTCGTGCTGCGGCAGGAGTGGACTTGTTTTGGCAAACTGTCAATAGGAAGGCGGCCCGATACTTCCGCAAGGTGGAGGATAAGGAGGTAGGCGGCAGGATAAGCTGCAGACCTGTTCTTAGATCTCTTGTCCCCTTTGGCGATGTGTGGGCATTCTTTATGTCCCGCACATGGCTTTAGGGACTCCTGCCTCCTTTGGGGATTTAAAATGGAAGCTTCCAACAGAGCAGTTCCATTTTATCCTGTTAAAACATTTTATTAATCAGCTAACTAAATCTTTCCTGCTTGGTCGTACATCTGTGAAAAAGTTGTATGTATATACACAGTACTCCATGGCTCACATAGTTATAAATATTGACATTATTTAACACTTAACTTAAATGACTTTATGGGAATATTTGGGGGGGGGACTGTGCTTCTGTGCACTGGGCAAAACAGTATTTGCTTAGGAGACTGGTTTCGCCATCAAAAGTACTTCCTGAAAAAAAAAATACGTTGCCACTTTGGTTAGGAGCTGCTTGTTAAGGCTTGAACTCACTTGTGTGTCTTCTAACTCAAAAAACAAACAGAAGTTCCATTAGAAGTCTCAGGGTTTTTTTAGCTCCAACTTTGTGGGTCAGACCATATACTCAGCAGACTGTAATGTAGTTAAAGGTATGCAAAATATTTTACAGATACAATTTTGTGAAATTGTTGCAAGTGATTTGATAGCCTTGCTTCCTTTCTCTGATCTGAATACAAGAGAATGTATAAAGTATCTGATTCTTCATGATGCAAATCGTTTTTTTGTACCTGGGAGGACATAGCACATTTGACAGTTTTTGCATTTTTACATATGACCGCAGTGTTTGTCTGTACCTGTGCTACATAAGTAACTGGAATTCTGATGATGACTATAGCTGCTGTACTGTACACTGATACTTAATAGAGCAACAAGTGGTCATGACACTTGTTCAACATTGGAATAAAATTACACATGCACGAGGGAATAGCATGACTGACTTTGAGAGCAGAAGGAAAGGAAGGCCTAAAAGTCACTTGAACATTTTAGGAAAAAAAATGGGAGGAAAAACTTTTTAAGCACATAGAAACAGGTTTTTCTCCTAACAAGATCTGCTTCATGACTAGAATGCAATAGCGTGTTAAACTGGTAGGCTTTTGTACTGTCTCTACAGCAGTAGCTTTAAAATTGTAACTGTATGGAAAGTTCATTTGTAGTCTTTTCAAGCCTTTAAGCACAGTGGGGTTTGTGATGGAACCACCTCACATGTGAATGCCTTTATTTTTATGACTTTAGCTACATTTCCTGTAACCAGAGCTAAACACCGGAGTAATATTGACTTGTCACTTAACAGAAGCAGTTGTTGTTAATGAGTAGTGTGTCTCAGTATCATGTATATAGTTGATTTTTTCTCTTGTACCGAAATTTATTGGAACAAATTTAAACAGTTCATGTGTTGCTTTTTCTGCTCAAATATGCATGGCCTCTTTATTTTAGTTGACCGGGGAGTGTGTCTTATTTGGAAATACTTTCAGGATAATGTTCCCTAGGAAGAAAGTAACACTCGTGGGTGGAGGAAAGGAATGCTGTGCCTACCCTCTCTCCCCTCAGGTCTGAAACACTCCAGCTTGTAGCAGAGAAATACAGACTGCACCCGTTCTCAGCTTTGCAAAGCAAGGAGTATACGTAGCACTTCGTCTTTCCGGTGTCCTGCAGTTTTCTCTCAGGAATGAAAGGTAGTCTGTGGCTGACAGTGGAGTTTCGTGAACTGCACAGCGTAACTGACAACTCAGTACTTACAGTCTGTTAGGTTCGCGCCGAGTGGCTGCTGTGCCACCCGCTAGCGTAGGGCCACCAGGAGGGCTGTGTCCCGTGAAGACTTAGGCACGTGGCTTCTATGCAAGGCACATGCCAGGATGCCACTTCCAGGAACTGACTGTAAGGTAATATGAAGCCCAGTAGTTCTCTCCTTCCTCGTTTAGTGGTTCAAGGACAGAAATGTTTGTGTCTCGGTTTGTAAATCCTACTGATACAAATGTGCTTCTGTTCAACACAGTCCCTAAAGAAAGTGAAAGCTTGGGTTGTGCTGACTTCCAAATATGGGGAAAGACCTGCTATACATCTGGCCTGGCAGCCTCTCTGGCCAGTTCTGCTTCCTGCCCCCCTGTGGTTCTGCTTGGAAACTGCAGTGTCGAGGAGGTCTTCACCACGTACTCCAACTCCTAATGAGATGTACTGGAAAAATCCAAATAAGGAAGTAGCTTCATTTCCTAAATTTTCCTGAGTCAGAACAAATGGAAGAGTATAGTATTTAGATGAATCCAGATTTGCTTTCTATGAAAATTAATGTCTGGATTTTTCCTTTTCTCACGGCCTAAGGAATAAGTATTGGTAAGGAATGATTTGAATGTAATTGTATGAATGCGTGTAGAAAATATAAACCAGGGATTTAGCCTTAATAAGGTAACCATTCTGTCGTCTCTTGTTAGTCCCCATTTGTACTCTTATCCTGTCCTGTATCTACACTTATTTTGAAATGTCATACCCTATACTGTATTGTAAAAATTAAAAAGCGGTATTTCAAATAAAGTCCACTGAGTACTTTTCTCTTGCTTTGTTTAGTCCACCGCCATTGAGAATCCCCACACATAAAATGACCACTCTGCCGAGTGTTTGCCAGAGACCACTGGAACCTTTGGCTGGAACAAAGTCCCTGTTAACCGGCTGAGGGAGGGAGTACCGTGTTGTCACAGAAGTGGCAGGCCCTGCTCCCTAAACGTCAAGCTGCTAGTGAAGAGCATGCGCCTGTGGGGAAGGAGGGCTGTAATACGGTACCCAAGCAGACTTCCCAGAGTGCAGCCGGGCTTGAGCGCGCTGGGGACAGGGCGTGCACCGCTGACCAATGTGTGCGTACTGTTCTGACGTTCCCAGAGGTTTCATCCATAGCTGGCCACGTTGCTAGGCCTCTGGCAAAGCAGAAACAGGAACTCTCCCTTTTTCCCTACGAAATCACAAATCGTGTACTTACAAGGCCAACCTAACCTGTCCCTATTCCTGATCTACCCCTTCGCCTGTGGAGCCCATTGCTCCGACTCCACACAGCAAATTCTCTGCTGTTTTCTCTTTCAAGACGGGCCTCACTGTGTCGTCCAGGCCACCCTCAAACTCGTGATCCACCTGACTCAGCCTCCCAAGAGTGTTACTACAGGAGTGTACCATCACACCCTGCTGATTTCTTTTTAACAAATGGCCATATCATAGAATCACCTGCAGTTTTATAGACAGTTTAACCCACGCCAATAAATACCAGAGCTTTAAGAAGCCACGGGAGAAATCTAGATTTCTTGAGTCAGTGCTTTGAAGTAAATGCTGGGCTGGGGATCTAGCTCGGCAGCACAGCACCTGCCTGGCAAGCGCAAGGTCATGAGTGATTCCCAGTACAAAAAAAAAAATACAGTGAATGCTTTATTTAGTATATGAAAAAAACTGCTAAGTAATTTAGCTCCCTCCTCCTACTTCAGATTTAACTTTGCCTCCTAGAAAAACGGTCCATAGTGCTTAAGGACCAATCCTCTGAGATCACACATTTCTGATGTGAGCTATGCTGTTTCAGCTTATTTGAGCCTTATGTCTCTGCAGCCAAGGTGTTGGGAAATATTTAACACTTCAGTATTTTTAAAGTACTGGCAAATTCAGTTACTGGTTTTCCAGTCACTGTTGAATTTACACTGAGATCTGACGTGTTCTGTGAGCAGCGACAGGTCACCCACAGATCACTTCCTCCAAGGCAGCCCCACAGCCCACTTTAAACCCCGTGGGTGTTTCACGTGGGAAGGAGGAAAGCTCAGCGTGTGAAGGCTGAGGGTGGACTACTTTCCACGCTGGGGTCATCACGCTCCAGCTTTTTAACGATTACTTAAGCTCCCAGTGCCTCAAATTTTTCCTCCAGAAGATGGGAAGAAAAATACGTACTTTTGTGGTTATTATGATGAGATTAAACACATCAAATAGTGCCTGGCACAAAACTAAGATCACTTTATAGCAAGTGTTATAGTACTTTAAAAAGCCTAGACTGTGCCATCAGTTGATTAAAACACAATAAGGCTAGTGTCCCATAACTAAGAGCCGTTCTGTGGCCAGTCAGGCCCCAAATACCAGAACTGGTTACAGGGAAGACTGAGTTCAAACAAAAACACCAGACATGGTGGCACATACCTGTAATCACAGTGCGTGGGAAGCTGAGGCAGGAGGATTGCCACCAGTTTGAGGCCAGCCTGAGCTACACAGTGAGTTCAAGGCCAGCCTGAACTATATCGTAAGACCCTGTCTCTTAAAAAAAAAAAAAAACCAGAAAACTGTGTAATGGTGAAACAGCACTGAAAACCTCAGTCACTGCCTGATCCAGCCACCCAAATGCTTCGTCTTCATCTGTGAAAGACAGCAGGTTGTTACTGCTTACAGAAAAAACTACCTCATTAAATTAGTGTTTTTCTTAGATTAGGAGAGAAGCACCATGAAGCCCTCTTAACTCAATGCAATCATGTATTAGTACCTAACGTGCCATGATTGTCTGAAAAGTAAAGCTTTTAGTAAACCTTGATAAACAGATGGAATTTTAAAAAGGCCACGTTCCTGTAAGCCTGCGGAGCAATCGGGATGGCAGCACGGTCCCCGATCTAAGTGCAGGAACATGACTGCTACCCTTAGCACGTGAGTAAGAAAAAGAACAACTTACTTTTCAATCATTTTACTCTGTGTAACATAGTCACATTTACATTGGCAGAAATGCTCCCAAGACAAGACAGCTCTGTCATGCAAGGGGAAGAAAGTGCAGGTTTTCACAAAGCTTAACAAGTACCGTGGCGACGCAGGCGGCCGGGGCACCTCAGACCCGCGCAGAGGTCTGCAAGTGGGAACGTGTCCTCACAGCAGCTGGCCCGAGACCACTGCCACTTCCTAGAGGGTATTTCTTAAAATGCTTGGTAAACGGGTCACATGAAACACAGATGTAAACGGCACGGTGACGCGGCGGAGGGAAGCCTGCGAGTCGGAGCAACTTCCGCAGATCTCACTCGTGTGCTGGGTTAGGGTTCTGCAACCGCCATCCCATCAGTAGACATCCAGGTAAATTTCAGAATTGCCAGAATTCTTAGGCCAAAATATAAATAGCCACACGTACCAAACCCACACACTGAATTTAAACAGAGCCACGTGGGGGACTTCCAAAAGCGGCGCAGACTATTCAAACAGAAGGTCTTCGTCCTTCTCCTCAGCCAGAAGGTTCGCAGGCTCCATCACTTCACCAGCTGCTCTCCGCTGCTCCAAGTCCTTCTCACATTTTTCCTTGAGAATCTTTTTCTTCTCCTGTATTTTCTTTAACCTGTAATATTAAGGGAAAATTTCTAAATGCTATTTCAGTACTAAGTAGATTTGATTTCTCCTAGTTTTATAACAAGGACGGCAATAAATGTGTACAACTACATGTAAAAATTGACACTCCCATTTTAATTTCAGTAATTTATAACATTTACAATGTTTTAGAAAAACATCTGAACCAGGCATGATGGTACAGCCCTATAAAATCCCAGCACTCAGAGGCTGAGGCAGGAGGATCGCGGAAGATTCAAGGCAGCCTGAACTGTGCAGTTCAAGAACAGTCTCAACTACACTGTAAGAACCTGTTCTAAAAAAGCCAAATTAAAAGAAGATACAGACCCCCTCCCAGCCTAAATAAATTTGAGCTGGGCATGGTGGCACACACCTATAATCCCAACACTCAGGAGGCTGAAGCAGGAAGACAGCCTTGAGTTCGAGGCCACCCTGGGCTAGTAAGTTCAAGTCCAGCCTAAACTGCACAGTGAGATCCTATCTCAAAAAAACCCCAATATGTAAATAAATAATCCACTCCCTAATGAAGCAGAGTTTGAGCATTCGTTTATTAAAGTTTTGGGTCACCACAACTCTGAACATCACTGAAAGAAACGAACCTTTGATAATTAAGAGTTCACATCCTACCCATGCTCTCTCTACAAGGTCGCAGATAAGCATGTGTTCCCTGCATACTCCTGTTTTCATTTACTGCAACCTGCTCCGAACCAGGCGCAGGGACCTCTGTGCACAGGGATTTATCCTTACAACTCACTCACGGACACACCTCGTTCCTCTCCAGATGCCGTGCTCGCGCTCCAGCGACACGACCTGCACCACTGGATAATGCCCAAGTACTTTCCACCACCTCCTGAACACACTCAGCATGCGACACCATTTGCTGAGTAGTCCCAGCTTTGCTGTAGGGGAAAGCAAGCTAAACCTGAGCTGTCTCCACGGCCTGTGGCCACACAGCGGTCCTGTGATCCACACGGGATCTATTCCGAGCCCTGCGGGCGATGTCTGACACAAACCCTGCGGAGGGGTTTTTCCTGGACAGCCCTTTGCATCTGCAAGTTTTACATCTGTAGGTTAAACCAACTGCGGATTAAAAATACATACCATAATAAGGTTCATGAATTAGGTTCAGTGACAGATTAACAAGTTTCTTATTAAGTCAAGAACTTCCATCTTTTCAGAGGAAACCCTTCATGGCTTCGTTCTGGCACGTCACCACAGGGTGACAGTAACAAGTGCTAGGGCACGGCGAGGGCCAGCGGTGGCGTGAGCACGGAGCCAGCGAGCCAGTGGCCGGCGGGGGGCACGCCCTAACGGACAGCCGCACAGAACGATGGGCCGCCCCACGAGCAGGGCCGGCGCCGCTCAGAGCAGCACGCAATTGAGAACTCAGTGTGAAAGCAGAAACTGCAGGTAGGAGGGCGCTACAGCATTATTTTCTTCTTATTTGTCAGAATAAAACACAAACTCTGGTAATTCCAATGCACATAAGCCAACGAGTCCCTCAGCAAATCGAGCCTTCGGAATATGGAGAACAAAAAGGTCGCCAGCTGCCAATTCCAACAAACCTGTAGAATTCTTCTCGCTCTCTCTCATCCAGCTCTGTGATGATGTAAGCAAGGGTCCGTTCAATCCGAGGTATAATAACTAGAGTTTGAAAAAACAGACACGTGAGTAGTCAGAGCGCCGTTTCAAATTAACAGTGCTCATTTGTGTACTAGTTACTCACCTTTTCTAATTATAAAGCTAACGTACACTTAACACAAACAAGTTGGAAGACAAAAACAAACTGAAGTATAATCCAACTACCCACAAGTAAGTCTTGTAAATATTTTCGTATATGTCCTTTTTTTTTGGTGCCGGGAATGGAACTCAGGACCTTGCACTTCCCTGGCAGGCGCTGTGCCGCTGAGCTGTATCCCCGGTCCCTGGTATATATCCCTCTAGTGTCTTTTCTACACGCAGATAACACACTGGACCACAGAAGATCCAATGCTGAATATACTAAAAAAGATAAATAAATAACACTGCACCACAGGGTAACAGCAATCCATTAAAAAAAATAGGACAGAGAGAATCTTTTAGGTTTTATGGGAGTCACTGGGTTCTACTTTACATGGAATTTGCCTGTTCTGCTTCTAGAATGTGAACTCCCTCGAAGGTGAGAACTGCCAGCCTTACCCACTTTGCTGTGCTTATGGTTCCACGTGCGAGGCCTGGCACTAGCAAGCAGTCAAAGAAGTTTCTGGGCTGGGAATACAGCGCAGTGTTAAAGCGCCTGCCTGCCATGAGCAAGGCCCAAGGTTTGATTCCCTAGCACCAAAAAATAAATACAAATGTTTCTGAATTTTAAAAAACGAGACAACTTCGAATAATCTTAACAGAGCCTCAATCAAAGGAATTCCCTTCAAATTTTGCTCCTTTCTTAACCTTAGAATTGAATAACTATTTCTTTAATGGAAACAGTTTCATGAGTAAAAAGTACGTTTAACGCTATCCAGTAATGTTTTTAAAATAATGAAGTAAAAGAGATGGAAAATAAATGCATCAAGCAGAAAACTGTATTTTGCCAGGCGTGGTGGCTCGTGCGTGTAACCCCAGCACTTGGGAGGCTGGGGCAGGAGGATCCCTGCGAGTCTGAGGCCAGCCTTAACTACACAGGGAAGCTCTGTCTCAAAAACCAATATATAAATAAATAAGAAAATTTTATTTTTACAAGTCAAGAAGAACAGCCTAAAGGAAAGGATTTAAAGTTAAAACACAGTGATACCTCAGCTTCAAACTTGATTCATTCCATGATTCTGGAAAAGATGGCCGGATGTGGAGTTCACACACAAAAACAAAAACAAAATTTTGCCAAACGTTTGTTTGCAAACCAAAACGTTCACAAACAAAAGTGTGTGTGAGCTGAGGTACCACTGTATGCAACGTATTTAACAAGACAGACTGTTCAACCACTGTAAGGAACTAAAACACATTAAATCCTTGGAGAAGTGGTTTCCAACCTTTCTAATTGTTACTAGTGACCGGAAATGAAAGCGAGGACCCACAGCTTTTAACTGGCCCTTTCCTGTCATTCCCGCAAATCCGAGGCCCAGACCTGACTTCCTCCTGCGCTCGGCGCGACCCGCACAGCGCGCCCTGGCGGGCGTGTGCGGAGTGAGGAGCGCCGCCCCGCAGCTGACTCACCGTGCTCGATGGCGTTTACACGCCTGTTGGTTATCTTAATAGCTTCGTCCAGAGTAACAAAGGAAGTCTAAAGGGAGACAAATGAGCAGAATAAGCACAGTCCTCCCAGTCGCGCCCGTTCCTTGGCCCCGCTCAGACAGCACCTGTCGAGAACACGCGGGAACCTTTTCGCCTTTCATGTTTAAGAAAAGCAAAGCTCGTGTGAGACCGCACACGGCTCACACACCTTCCAGGCGGTCAGCGTTTGTGTACTCCCGACTCACCTGGGTGAAGACGTGGAAATGACCCGATGGCCTAGCTACGTAATTAACTGCTCACAAAGGGGAAAAGCGCGTTCCTGCACAGCCTTCTGTTCCCACGGACCTCTAGCTTTGGCTGTTGCCGTTCCCAGCCAAGGGTGAAACTGCCCCTGCACATACGTTTTGCTAGTAATAAAGAGCAGCGCTAAGAGCGCGGGAGCCGCTGGCTCACAAATGCCCACCGGAGGCCCGTCCCGCACGGCCGCAGCACAGCGGCGCCCGCCGGCGTGCTCCCCGCGGAGCCTCCCTGGCTCCGCCCCGCTGCCCTCACCTGCAGCGACGCCAGCTCCACCAGCAGCTCCACGGCCTTGGCATAATTCCGCTTCAGCTTAGCCAACTGTTCCCCACCTCTGGCTAAACCAGTCAGCTCATAACCTGAAAGAACCAGTCGGACAACATTTGTAATTAATAAATAATCTTCTCACAGAAGATTCCCAAAAGGAAGATAAGCAGAAAAGTACCGAACGGAGACAAATGCGCTAACGCCTGCCCAACGCCCCTGGAGCCAGGAGCGCCCACCCCACGCCCGGGCGCGGCAGCAGGGTGCTGCTGAACAGCGTCCGCAGTCCCCAGCCGTGCGCGTGCCGCCCGCGGGACGCGGGACCCGCGTATGCGAGGCCGGCGCCTCTGCCGAGCTGCGCGCCCAGCCCTGGAGACGCTCAGCCAGCCTCCGCGGCACCGGCTTGCTGGCCGAGCTGATGCCCGGACGCCCTCTGGACATGACACCGGCCTGCGCTCGTGGAACAAGGAAACTGTTGACGCGTGACCCTGAACGATAATATTACAGGAGCCAAGGCGCCCCAAGGGCCAGAACAAAGAATGTGATTGTGTCTACGGAAAGCAATGACTTGGCCAAACTCGCTAAATGTGTTACCGCCACACAACGCTGCCAAATTAGGAACGGAATGGGTGAGACAATCACAAACCATTGGGGTATGCCTATAAAAATCTAGAAGGGCGTTCAGACTGCATCACAGCATAAGGCATCCTATTATACTTTTAAAAAGATACCAACTGGAAATTATGAAAAAACGTATTGTGGGTTTTGCTTATGCAGAAAGATGTAAATGTATAGTCCGTGAATCCATAATAGAAGAAAACACCTACCTCTTAAATGGCAAGTGACTATACAGGGATCTATTTGTAAGTTAAAGCATTTTAAGATACGCACAGTTCTATGAACGCCTGTCAAAGGTTCTTTCTGATTAACTGATCAACTGCTGTGACCTTAGCAGGTGAGGAAGTATCCAACGCTGGAGCCTCTGACGGCCCACAAGTCTGACGGCGCCACTTTCCAGGCGAGTTTCACTTAAAGAGGAAACAGACGAACACGAACATAGGGTTCCACACTTACTGTCGGTCCCTTCGTGGTAATGTTCGAACACCGGCAGAGTCACACCTGTTGAACACAGAAGCGGACGTGTTCACCAACACAACGCGGCCGGAGGGACGGCTGCCACGCACTGTCCCCTGTGGGACTCGTTTTCTTTTTCTCAAAGTCAAGAAATTATGTCTGGATGTGTAACTGGCTGTAGTCAATGAACTTCAAAAAGTGCTCAAGCCTTCATTTCTATTCAAAACTCAGATCATCCTGAGTAATAAGGACCCGGTTGTTAATGGTTTTAACAAACAAAGCCAATCTAGTTCTAATAGAAGAGAGAAACTGGGACATCAAGGTATTGTTGCATAAATGGCTGACTTTAAAATGTCACCTATTCTCCTCCGGGGGTTCCCAGGGGTTGAGAAGTTACCTGCTACGTTATCTTTCTTTGCCCGAATCTTCACTTGGGCCTTATTTACGTTCTGGATAACGGTGGTGCTGCAGAAGAAGACAGAACTTTTGTTTAGCTGTCGCTTTCGGACTCAGCCCATGGGGACCCTGGGCAGTTTCCACATTAAAGGAGCCAAGAGGGAGATGTGGCAGTGAGGTGTGCTGATAACGTCCTTTCCCAGAAAAGAAGACCGGCTGCCGTCTGAGGAGGTCTCACAGGGCAGAGATGAACAACGTCCAATCCGCCATGAGAGAACAAGAACGAACGACAAAGCGCGGAACCTGTTTCCAGTCCGTGCGTGGAAGGTCTAAGTTCAGAGTTCTCATTCTGCTAGTGTAATCTGGAGAGAACTTTCCTTCTAGGTTTGCTATTTAGTTGATTAAACCGGTATTCAAATTCCGTTATCTTACTTCTGGCTTCAACTCTTAAAAATACAGGGACTTCCCCATAAGCACCCTGAAACCTTCCCCCAGAAACTCGTAAACCACTTACACGCTGCCGTTTCCTCCCTCAGCCGGCCCACTCCGTGCACACCGTGAGCCCAGCAGTACGGGCAAAAACTGAAGCCCACCACTTCGGGGGCCCACAGCCCTCAGGCTCAAAGGCCTGCAGCCAGGGAGCACCAAGGAGGCTCATGTCACTGGGAAAGAATATCCAAATCAAAGATCCGCAAACAGCCACGAAGGGCAGTGCTCGGCTTCAGTCCTCGCTATTCAGGAGGCAGAGGCAGAAGGATCCCAAGTTTGACGCCAACTCAGACGACTTAGTGAGACCCTGTCTCCATATAATTTTAAAAAGGGCTGGCAGTGCGGCTCAGGGGCCGCGCGCTAGCCCAGCACCTGCAAGCCCCAGAGTCACTGCCCAGTACCACTAACGGTAAATTTAAACCCTGAAAGCAGCTTTTACTTCTGTCCTTAACTAGCCATGGACTCCAACGACCGCGCTTGCCAGCCCAGCGCCTCCGGGTCACGGCAGAGTCACTAACACATGACCGGCACCGCCTGCGCACGGCTGCGCACGCGTTGTAAAGCACACGCTGCTACCGCTAAAGCCACAGAAATCTTGCCTTTTGAATAACGGGTTCTACGCTGCCGACATGAATCCGGATTCGAGCTCTAGAACGGGACAAAAAAGCATGCCCGTTTTCCAGGATGCACGGTTCCCGTGGATGGGACACAAGCTGACTCGGAACCCTGGAATTTCTCTCCACTCCGTTTTTCTGGGTTTCCTGTTCTTCTCCCTCCCTTGGTCTCCCACTCCTGGGAAGGCAGTGAACTAGGGCCACGAAGGAGCCTCTGGTATATGAAATTTTTGTTTTCTGAAAATAAATAATCAATTAATTAATGGATTCTTGTCCCCAAAATTTACCCTAATAATTCAATAAAGAACAAAAAAAGATATGCAGTAAGATGTTTAATCTATCTTGTCTAATATTCAAAAAAACTGAGAACTCACACCAAAGACCCCGAGGTAGGAGAAAAGATACCACGGCGCCCCTTGAGGAGGATGCAACACCCACAGGAGAACAAGGACAAATGTTTAAGGTCAAACAGGGGACAGAGTGAGCGAGGGCTCTGCCGGCCGGGGCGGGACGGCAGGGGCAGGGGTGGGGTGCTCACCGTTACCATGTCATCCACCTGTAATACTTACACTCTTACACTTTTAAAAAATGTTAACGTAATTACGAGCCTGAAAGCGCTGCACTCCCGAAAAGCACCAGCGGGATGTTTTTACCTGAAGTCGCCTGCTGTGAACTTGGCCTCAGCCAGGGAGAAGGCGGCCTCCCGCATCACCTCGCCCATCAGCATCTTGGTCTGGAAAAGCCCGGGGCACAGCAGGGTCAGCACGCAGCGTCCAGCCACAGCCCTCGCACTGCCGGGCTTCCACAACCGCCAGCACTGAGGGAGGGCGTTACACACCGGCACACGCTGATTTCACGGACGATAAGGCGAAATCCCCAGCTGTGCACAGCTTTGGCTATGGTCACTAGCAACGCTCCGAAACCATGAGTTTAGTAAGGAAAACGTGAGAAGGACATAGCTCAGGGGCAGAGTGCTTGCCTGGCATGCGCAAGCACTGGGTTCAATACCCAGTACAAAATAAAACATTAAAATAAATGCGTTAGTAAGCAGCAAATCGATTCTTTACCAATGGAGCTACTTATTCCTGAATGGGTACATGTGGATCTGCTCAAATTACCCTCTGAACCTCAATGAAGTTAAGAGTTAAAATCCTAATGGCATAATAATGCTAAAATACAGCTAGAAAGTGTAATGCTTGAGAATACCCAACCTTCTTTTGTAAAAAGGAGAAAAACTGGGTCTGGTGGGGAGGAGTTGGCTTACGAAGTACTAAAAATCCACAGCCACAAAAAGGCAAGACACTTGGTTTCGGACAGACAAGAAACGGGATGGAAAGTTCAGAAAGAAGTCCAGAGCCGGGCATGGTGGCGCATACCCATAATCACAGCATTCTGGAGGCTGAGGCACCAGGATCATTTCATTCAAGGCCAGCCTGAACTACACAGTGAGACCTTGTCTCAAAAAACGAAAAACCAAACAAACAAAAAAATCAACCAAAAAAGCAGCCCAGGTGTTTATGAGTATTTAGTACAATAAAGAGACCAGCCTACCCATTTACAGAATGATAAAGCTAAATCCCTACCTTACACCATTTCCTCCACACAAAAGAAAAAGATCCAGACATACTAAAGAAAAAGACTTAAGAAAAAAACATCTGTAAGCCCAGGGTAGGGTTCCAGTCACTCAGAAGACTAGGCAAAAGCATTACCTCTGCTCTGGAACTTGAACCAGCCTGGGCAACACAGTGTCTGTAAATAATTCCCAGCACTCAGGAGGCTGAGGCAGGAGGATTGTGAGTTCAAGCCCATTCTGGATTACACAAGCTCAAGGCCAGGCTGGAGGACAGCTCTTCTCCAGGCACTAGAAAGAGAGTGCTGAGAAGACACCGTTCCTGCTCTCTGGAACTCACATTTTCCAGCGGGGGAACAATTGAGAAGATGGCAGCAGCCGCACATGCTACGAGAAAGATAAAGTAAGAGGTGTGACAGGAGGAGATACGGGGCCACTCCAAACTGGAGGGCCCGCAACGGCCAGAGGAGCCGGTCGCAGCTGGTTCTGGGTAAGGAGCACTTTGGGCAGAAGCAAGGGCCAATGGGAAGGAAGCTGCCGGGAGCTCAGAGGAGCAGCCGCCGGGCTGGGCGCATCTGGCTCAGGGCTCTGCAGGCCGCCTCAGTGGGATTTTTGTAACAAAACTACCCGAAACTTAAGTCTTTATGGGTATGTGCGCTAGCATCTGTCCACTGTTATGCTTTTATAATACTATTGTTACTTTCGAAACAAAAGTCAATTAAAATCACAGAAACAATTAGGGGGTGGCTGTAGCCCCGTGGTAGAACACAGACTTCGCACATGCAAAGCTCAGGGTTCAATCCCAGGGCCGAGAAAAGAAAACAAGCCAAGCCACACCGGCTTTTCCTTGGGATAGTCATAAAATAAATACCGCACCTACCTCTATGATCTTCTTTAGGATCTGTCGAAAGCGAAGCGTTAAGGCATCAGACTTTTTCTTCAGGAGGTTCCGGCCTGTCTGGGCGCCTTTCAAGCGAGCCTTCATGATGGTCTGCGCCCTGGGGAAGCAATGTCAGACGCGCTCACTGCCGGCGCTCGGACACGGCAGCGCCTCTGTCCTCGGTGCTACAGCTGTTCCTTGGCCTTTCAAACGGGGGTGAGGAAGTGTGGGACTTGCAGCGGGCAAGTGGAACCGGCTTCTGAGTATTACGGATTCCTACCTCACTGTGCCATCAGGGAGTTCATTTACTTACACCCATTCTGGAGTCAACACCTGGAATAAGTACTCATTAAATAATAAACACTACCGGAGCCCTATGTTAATGCACATAGTTTAAATTCTTAATTGATTTGTAAATAAAAATGGTATCTAATGTTTTAGATCCATTAGAAATACAGTATTAAGTATAAAAATAATCTACCCTCTAATATATACCAAAATTAGGGGCACCTGGGGTTTAGCTCAGCAGGAGCGAGCTTGTCTAGCATGCACAAGGCTCTGGGTTCAATGCCCAAGCAGCAAACAAAAATCTGAAACGTAATTACCTTCAGGACCAGCAACTCCACTTGAGGAATTGTCCGTATAGACTTATCCCACGTGTACACAAAAACATGTACAAGAGGAACACGCCAGCCTTATTTGCAAGAGCAAAAGGGTAAAAACAACTAAAAAATAAATCATGGTTCACCGCATAATGGAATGATATCCAAACAAGGTCCAGATGTGCTTCCTGTATTACACTGTCTTATTTACCTAAAGTAAGGAATTGCGGTGCTTATACAGACAAAGTTCTACAAAGGAGTCACAGAAACAGGGCTGAGTGAAAAAATGGAGTTTTTAACTACTATATTCTTTTGTACTTTTTGCATTTTATTGTATCTCCTATAACCAGTGTGGCATTTAATTATCTTGGTGGTGATCAATACCCAATACCAATCACAGAATCAATTTGTGAACGATTCTAGGTAATAGCATATACAGGACTCCAAAGTGACAAGCTAAACTTGTACTTAAGTTTTATCTTATTTCCATCTTTCCCTTGTCAGAAGCCCCATTCCAGGTGGGCACGGTGGTGCACACTGTAATCTCAGCACTCAGGAGGCAGAGGCAGGAGGGTTGCAGTGAGTTCCAGGCCAGCCTGGGCTACGTAGTGAGTTCAAGGCCAGCCTGAATTGCAGAACAAGAGCTTGCCTCCCTTAAAATAAATAAATAAATAAATAAATATTTTAAAAAAATCAAACCCTAAAAAAGAAGCCCCACTTCAAAGGTTTTCTGTTTGCTTTATTTCTTGCAGTGCTGGGGACTGAAGGGGCCTAGTGCATGCTGGGTAAATGCCCTCTCAGCTTCGTGCCCCAGTCCTGCCCTCCCAGAAGGCCAATCAAGCAATAGCAGAAGTCACTATTTCTGTTCTCACTGCCACCTGCCAGATAAAATTTAATAACTTTTAAAAAAAGTATTCTACTAATAAAATTCAAGAATAAAGTATATACAAGCTAGGCATTTACAGTGACTTTAGATATAATTTCACATGATGGTATTACAATCAACTGTAAAATAGCACATATTAATAAACCTTTCCACCGAAGTCTTAATTACATATACAGTACTGAAATCTTTTACCATAGTGTTAACTGAGCCAGTTCCACAGATGAAAGACTTGGCCCTGAACTTAAACATTAGGAAAATAGTAACAATGCCCATAGAGCTGGGGCAGGAGGATTGAAAGCTCTGTGGGAAGGCCCTGAGCTCACTCCCCAGTACTACTTAAAAAAAGCAAAATTAGAAAACTGAGACCCAGAAAACTGGAAGAACTTTCTCACAGTCATTCAGGGAAGAAAAGCCAGGGTAGGCATTTGAACCAGATTTCTCACTCCAACCTGCCCAAAATGCCAACTACGGCTCAAAGCTGAGTCCACCGTCACCGAGCTTGTGTGAAGACGCCCGCCCTGCGGGCCTCCGCTGCAGTGCAGCCAGGGGAGGCTGTTTCTGCCCGGCCTGAGCAGGAGCCACTCAGCCCAACTGTGTACACGTAACACACGACAGTGTTGACACGACAGAGCTGAAGGTGGGCTCAGAGCTGGGTCCAATTTAGGTAAAATCCTACTACTGCAGATTTCAGCAAGTGTAGTGTATATAGGTTAACAGGTTGATAAAACTGAATTTACTTTTAATTTCCTCTTACACAGCACCTCTGTGAAATGTGCACATTTTTTTTTGAGACAGGGTCTCACTATGTGGTTCAGGCCTTACTCATTATGCAACCCAGGCTGGCCTCGAACTCGAGGCGATCCTCCTGCCTCAGCCTCCCGAGTGCTGGGATTACAGGTGTGTACCACCATGCCCTGGCTTTAGGACTTTTAAAACCTGTCATTTTACTTGTTTCAGAGCTGCTTTTCTCTACCAAAAAAGGTTTGACCTTCAGCTAGGACAGTGACTGCTTCCAGTTGAATCAAAGACATCTGACTCCATGACAAAGAACCTGCTGTTGGGCCTTGGGACAAACACTTATTTCCAGCACGTGGTTTTCCTCTCGGTCAGCAAGAGAACTCTCAAATAGCAGTTTTCGCCTTTGCAAACCTGTCATTTCTTGTCTAAGCCCAAAGAAGTCCATTTTCACCTCTTAGTCTCAAAAGTTTCCAGACAGACACAAAAACATGTTAACATTCTGACTACTGTCACGGATAACCACCGCCAGACATTAGCTAAAACGATGGAAAGAGATTTTCTTTGGTAACAACTGACAGGAGGGCAAATAGCTGAGCTCCATTCGGATTTTACAGTGGTTTGGGTGTTTCAAAGACAGAATGACGGAGTGGGCATCAAGTAGAGTCAGAGGCAGGAAAACTTACAAAGGGGCGCTTAGTGGGAATACAACTAAGCTCACTGGTAGTTGTGGAAATCAGGTCCCCGTCCCAGAGGACTCTCAGACCCTTGGTGGCTCACACCTGTTATCCCAGCACTTGGAAGGCTGAGGCAGGACGATCTCTGAGAGTTCAAGGCCAGCCTGGTCTACGAAGTTAGTTTAAGGCCAGCCTGAACTGCAGAACAAAAACCCTGTCTCAAAAATGACAAAAACAAACAAAAAAGTGACTTTACACCTTGCACTCACTATGTAACCCAGGCTGGCCTCGAACTCACTGCAATCCCCCTGCATCAGCCTCCCCAGGGCTGGGATTACAGGTGTATGCCACCACGTCCAGCAGTCTCACAAATTGTTAAGCACATTTGAGAAAACTTCAAAATTTTCTTTACAAACTGGCCAGTATGGTGCTGTCATTTCTCCTGACAAAGACTTCAGACCACAAGAGAAAGGCGGCCCGCAAGCAAGCAGATTCCAAGACATGGGTTCACTCAAGAAACATTCTTTGTGGATCTTCTAGGAATTAATAATCAAGATGCTCTCACCCTGGAGGGGCCTGGAGCCTGGTGGGAGGGGAAGATTATGCAGTAAATAAATATCTGTGATATGATCAGCGATAACAGAGGTCTTGTGGTCACAGTGCAAAAGGAGTGCTTCAGGAACGCACAGATCTCTCCCAACAGCAGGTGACAGTCGACGGGATCTTGGAAAACAAGGGAATCCAAGGGGAGCCCACGTTAGGCTAACCCAGTTCAACCGCACTTTGACGCAGGGACCTGCTACCTACTTCCCATCGCAGCAAACTTCCGCTCTCAGAGCAGTTAACAAACTGTATTGACTTTTCCCTCCCATCACTAAGCCGTGGGTCCGGGAAGGACCCGATTACCGAGTAAGGACAGCGGACCCCACAGACGCCGGCGAGCCGGGCGCCTTCTCCTGCGGGCTGGGGCGGCTCTGCGCAGTCTGGGGCGCGCTGCAGGCACCTGTGAGCGAGCGAAAGGCAGCCAGGCCTTGAACGCATGAGAAGTCCCTCGGGAGAGTTCGGCATCAGCCCAGGAAACTAGCAGCCTCGCTCGTGGTCCCGGGTGTGGCGGACTCGCGCTCCGGGCAGGCATTCCTGAAACGACGAGCGCCACTCGGCCTGCTCTTTTACTTACATTCGCGAGGGGAAGATTTCAATCCGGTCTTTGCCCGACATTCTGACGATGACCGTGCGGTTCGGGCAATCCTGGCTACAACAGCTCCAACACCGGCCGCCACAGCGCCCTCCTCGACCGAAGTCAGCTGATGGTGTCACTTGACCGTGCGTTGCTAAGAAGCCGCAGGGACACCCATTTTTCACTTCCGCTTCCGGTTGTCACGGAGGAGCGAGAGGGCAGGAAGAAGGCGATGCCCGGATGTTGAGGCGCGCGCACCGCGGAATTCCGGTTTGCCGCCCCCCCCCCCCCCCCGCAGCCTTGCCCCTCCTCTCCGCCCTCCCACCGGTTTGCGGCTGCGCAAATCACTGTGCACGCCGGGCGACTGGAGAAAGAAGTAGGTTCCTTCTCTTCCTCCATTTTAATCTTTCGCAGCGCCATCTTCTGGTTGACTAAAAGTTTGAAAGAACTTATTCTTGAGGAATAAGGAATCAGAGTCCTGCCTCTTACCCATGCCTTCAAGGTTACTTGGCAAAATATAAGGATAGCGAGAAAATGTCTTTTTCGTGTCTTCCTCGAGTCATCCTAATTCTTGGAGGACCCAGACTCTATGATCGGCGATGAGGAGAGGCCCCCTTCATCTGCGCCTGCGCAATGGCAGGCGCTTCCGCCTGCGCCCTGGGGTTGAGCGAAGCGCACGCTGAGAAGGCTCGGCGGCTGGTGCGGGTGGAGTAAGTCTGGTCGCTCGGCTCTCCGATCACGGCGCGGGACCCCAGTGCGAGGCTCGCCCCCGAACCTCAGGTGGTTGATCCTGAAGCTCGGATTTCCCCGGAACTGGCTTGAGCTTGTGTCCGGTGACAGGAGGGTCCGCGCGAGGGTAGGCCCGGGCGGGTCCCCCTCGCTGCGCCGCGCCGCGCGGGATGTCCGCGGACCCGGCTGGC